CCTGCTGGGCCTTCATCTCCTCTTTACTCTTCTGTGGTTTGGCATTGGTCTCTTTATTCTCCTGTATTCTGTCCTCATCCTCGCTTTCTTGCTCAGAGTCCAGGTCAGAGTGACCATCTTCATCTTCTTCAGTGCTGCCCCCCTCCTCCTCTTCTGCATTATCTTCATCACCATCTTCCTCCTCTACGCCTGACTCCTCCTCTTCCTCACCACTCTCTCCCTCTTCTTCATCTCCATCTTCCTCCTCTTCCTCACCACTCTCTCCCTCTTCATCTCCATCCCCCCCTTCCTCAGACTCCCCTCCAATGTTCCATTTTCCATCCTAGACAAATGATTGAAACACATTCTTTATTACCGTAATTTCCGGACTATTGAGTGCACCTGAATATAAGCCACACCCACTAAATTTAAAATGAAAAAACAGTTTGTACATAGGTGTCCACGTTGTAACATGAGACATTACAGCAGCCAAATTGATCGCCTTTTAAAGCTGCATCATATGCATTTCGTCGTGCGTTTTCCATGATGAGGGTGTGTGCATAAAGCGAAAAAAGTAGCGGCTTATAGTCCAGAAATTACGGTAGTCCAGAGAACTGAACACACAACACACACATTAAAGTGCTGTCTCTTACATGATAAGACAGGGTCTTCTTGTCATCTCTGTCCAGGATGAAGCCATCATTGAGGTCATCAGCAGACAGGTGGGTCTGACTCTGCGCACTGCCCCCAACTTCATCTCCCATCATCCTCCTCAGACGGTCAGCCTGGAGGAAGCACAGAGCAAAAAAAATTCCTATCACACAGATCATTAAAACATTATGATTTTATGTGATAGAGACAAGAAGCTGGTCGCACCTAGATAAGAAAAGAAAGTTTAGCATGACCCAACACTGTAGTCATACCTCTAGTTTCTGGAGCTTCTCTCTCTCCTCCCTGGCAAGCTCCTCTGGGGTTTTCATCTTCTCTGAGGGCTGCGCCTTCATCTCAAAACCGAGCTCTCTGACCATCATGTCGTACTCGTCCAGCTGGAACCCAGAGGAAGCAGAAGGAGAACAAAGACATATCAGGTTCTGTCCCTGAAGGGGAAAAAAAGCACAAAACTTTGGGACATTTTGCTGATTGATTGGCGCATCCCTACTTTGGGCTTCTCCTCCTTTTTGTCACCGTGTTCGGCTTTAGGTGTCTTTTTCACCATCAGAGTCTGGATGCTCTTCCACTCCTGATCCAGCTTCTCGGTCAGCTCCTGTGCCTCCTCTCTCTGCACCTGTCGTTCACGCTGAGAAAGAACCCTAAAGTTACTCATTTGGACTACAAGCCACATCTCCCCTAGAAGATCACTACAATTAATCAGTAACAAATCATCTGCCATAATTAATGCAAAGAAATTCTAGAAGATAGACAGTTTAGTTCACTTAATAACTTCTATCCACTAATTACAGTGTGAGTGACAAGGTCTGTCCATCAACAGGACTGTTCACCTTCTCCTGCTTGGACTTCTGGATGAGCTCTTCAATAAGCTCCTGTCTGGACTTTGCCCTCTGGCTTCCTTCATCCTCCTGCTGCTGCTCCCCAGCTGTTTTCCTTCTGAGGAGGCCCCCTCCTCCGCCAAAGTGGGAAGCAGTCAGCTCAGCTAGGTGAGAAAGAAAAATTATGTACCAGCTCTGCCATCTGTAAGGCGGGACTCATGCAACCTCGCCAGAAAGTCACCATGTTCATGAACGTTGTGTTTTATATATTGTAAAGCGGAACAAAAATAATTAATTAATGTTGCCATTTCTTTGTTTTCTTGCGATTGTGAATTACTGGAACAAACAATTGCACATGGATTAGAAAGTTTGTTCAAATATGAGTGGATTTCTATATAAATACTGACATTATTTACCACACAGAACTAAATACATAAGAAACAACAACTGACACAAATGCAGGAATTAATTTTATTTGATGATGCTAAACAGGCCACGAGTACCACATCAATTTGTTACAGTAAACACTTCGCTCATTTGGTGTTTAGAATTGCACGGTA